CCCTCTCCTTCTTTCTTTTCCCCCTCTCCTTGGATTCATCTTTTCCTTTAGAATCCAAGTTCTGGGCACCTCATACTTTATGGAGTTTTTGCTTGCAGAGACCCATGTGTTTTCTTCTGCAGGGCCACCTGTGAGGCTGGTGGATGGAGAGAGCACCAAGGAGGGACGGGTTGAAGTGTTCCTGAATGGGCAGTGGGGCAGCATCTGTGATGAAGGCTGGACAGACAGAGATGCTGCAGTCGTTTGCAGGCAACTGGGATTCAGGTGAAAGATCTGATATGTGCATCTTACAGATTGAAATAGCTCTCAAGGGGAATCGCTTCGTTCTGGACCAGTTTCTGGGGGGTTAATTTCTTAGTTTTAGCTTATCTGCATATGCTTGTAGGGTCCTATTCTCACAGTACCTTCAGCAAGTACAGTACTGCTGTGTGTGGAGTGACACATAAATATTATTTCTCTTAAAATGTGCAGATGCATCAGGTTCATCTGCCTCCTTCTTACTGCATATTGGCCACCATCTCTCTAATTGCAGTGGTACAGCAAAAGCCAGGGCAATGGCTTATTTTGGCGAAGGCCATGGGCCCATCCATCTGGACAACATAGAATGCAGTGGCATGGAGCACACCCTGGGGCAGTGTGTCAGGCCTGACACTGGGATTCACAGCTGCTGGCACAGTGAGGATGCTGGTGTGATCTGTGACTATGTGGAAGAGAAGGTCCAAGACATCAGAAGAACAGGTGACATGCCCATTTCTTCTATGCAGAAATCTGCGGCTCCAGTTGTAGTGTCTCTGCATGCTTTTATGCTTTTTCACTGTAGTTCTTATCTTCTTTGGCTGAAATTTTACCTAAAAAATAATAATGTCCTGTCCTGCACCTCCCACTTTTTCCTTGGTTTCATTGTCTCTTCTTGGGACCACAGAGTGCTCCAGACTGAGGAGCTCTACCCTTGTCAGGCCTTTGAGCCTGCAGAACTTCTCCACAGCCAAGTCATTGTACCCTTCCTTAAAGCTATAACTATGAGCATATTCTGAGGAAATAGATGTAGAAGTCCCATTCCTGGTGTTAGACTAGATACTGGTGGTAGGTGCCTTCACCAAAACAGAGGAAACCTATGGGATCAAATTTTCTATGAATTCCATATGCACAACACAATGCAGTCAGCTACCGTGAGGATTAATGGCCTCGGGGAAGGCAAATGGCATTTGGCTCTGTGACAGCAATTGTTGATACTTAATCTGAAGGTATCTACTCAACCACTCTGACTTTGCTGTGCAGGTCCAGAGTCTGGTGTGTGTGGGATGCGCCTGCTTCACCGTCGCAAGAAAAGGATCATAGGTGGAAACAAGTCTCTCAGGTACTACCCTGTAATTGCCAGGAAGCCAGAACTGGCAAATGCTGAATATAATCACACATTTTCACTGGTGATTTTCTAACTTGATTTGAACCAGTGGGCCTCTCTAGGCGAGAGTGCCTGCCAGCTGAGCACAGATGGGACAGAGTGGATGGGAAAAGAGGAAAACAGCTCCTGTGTGCATGATGCTGATTATTCCTCTGTTTCTTCTTCAGAGGCAGTTGGCCATGGCAGGCCTCGCTGCGGTTGAAAGGTTTTCATCGAGATACTCGGCTGCTGTGTGGAGCAACACTGATCAGCAGCTGCTGGGTAGTGACTGCAGCCCACTGCTTCAAAAGGTGCGTTTGTGAGTGAAGAGCCCTGAGGGATACTCAGCAGTGAACAAGATTGTAACCTCATACAAGGCTATCCGCCCAGCCCAGTGGAATGCCCCACATGAGCAAAGTTTCTAAACCAAGACCTTCAGGTTATGATGTGTGTGAACTTGGAGCACTTATGGGGATGACTCAGTATAGGCTTGTTTTATCCTTCACTGTTTACACCTGACCTCTTAACTTTGAGGCTTTACAACTTAAAAGGAACCAGCATTTTGCCATTCTTCAGTGCTTTAATGAACTGTGAACACGAGGAAATACACCTGCTGCAACTGTTGTAGCCCTTTTTATAGTGGGGGAGGGGAAAAAGTCTTGTGCATGGACACCTATTTCCCAACAGCTAATATTACCACATCTGCTGAAGAGGTCCCACAGTCCTGCAGCTGGCACTGTTTTATCCAGTTTGTGAGGAGGTGGTTCAGTCTCGTAGCAACTGAGACTTGTGTGAATCTGGTTCTCTCTTAGTAGGAGTATTGAGATCTTGTGTCTTTTTCTCCAGGTTTGGTGTTGATGTGCGACGCTACTTGCTGCGGGTGGGTGATTACCACACAGGTGTGAAAGATGAGTTTGAGAGGGAGCTGCCCGTGGAGCGGATCGTCCTCCACAGGAACTACTGGGCTGGAAGCAACGATAATGACATTGCCCTGGTCCGGATGCGGGGCAGAGAGGGGCACTGTCTCTCCTTCAGTCACCATGTTCTGCCCATCTGCCTGCCCAACAGGAAAGAGAAGCCTGACATCAACAGGGAAGCCTGCATCATCTCTGGCTGGGGAGACACAGGTAAGCGATGGGGCTCTGAGGAGCAAGAAAGGTGGGGGACTCTGGACTCAGGAGCCTACAAGGGCCATTAATTTATATCTGCAAAGCTCAAGGCCATGTTCTTACTGCCTCTATTGCCTGTGCCAATGCATGGTGTCAAGGAGCAGAGAGCTAAGGTGATTTTTGTGTCATTGTGTCTTCTTCCCATTTTGAGTCTTCTTGAGCCTGCCCATGGTGGAAGTTTTGGTTGCCATAGCATCTTTCTGAAGCTGTGGGAGAGAGGAATGCTGCAATCTTTCTTCCCCCTTCTACATGCATGTTTGCCCTCAGCAAATGCCTTAGGCAGCAGCCTGTGCAGAGCTGGTGTACAAAGCTCATGTACTGCTCAGGGAGGGCCCTTTTATTTCCATAACCTCCTGCCTCCTTCGTGATACTGTAGTAGTGTAGTGGAGGCTTAGAGGTGGAAGGAATCTCTCTCAGACTACCTTGCTCATTTTCCCTGGCTGTTGCTGCAGGAACAGCTGGGCTCTGAGGCTGATTTCTGCGTTAGATTCCAGACAGCCTGTAAGTGTTCTCTTGCAGCACATTGCTATGGAGCTTCCTAGGTAAAAAGGAGCATGGAATATTCTAGAAAGTATTAACTATTAAATACTGAACTCTGTCAAGGTAATGTTTTAAAATGCTGGGCTTGGTGGAGTCCTGACATGCATGTGTTATCAAGGTCCGGAGACAGCTTTGAACTCTAAACAAAGCTCTATAACCAGCAATCCAGTCCTCCCCCATTTGGGGCTCAGAGATGCAATGCAGGGCTTGGGGCAGGGAGGCCTTTCTGGGGCTGCTGTGACTGGAGCAAAGCCATATGTTCAGAAAGACTTGCTGCCAAAAGGCAAATAGCCCCAGGAGCTTGTCTGTTGATTTTGGACTCGCTCATTCCTCCCAGCTGTTTCCCTAGCTGTTACCCCAAGTGTTTAACTGCAAATATACATTTGCCTTTGGAGTCAGTTGCACCAGGTGCACGTGTCACTTTGGGGTGTCTGGGGAGGATCAAGGAGCAACTTAGCCATGTAAGTCCCTTAAGCTGTGCTGAGGTTTAATGGCTAGAATCCTTCCCACACACCAAACCCAGCTTTCCCAATATGAGCTGCAGTTACCAACTACCTTGTGAACTTACCATAAACCTTGGGCACAGAATGGCCATGCTCTAATATAGCACGAGAACCTTAAGTTCTGAGCAAGTCTAGGGTAATAGAGAGATTTGAGCAGAGACAAGTCTGGCCAAAGATGAAGTGAGCTCCCTTTGAATAGTATTTGGGTGCCTCTGAAACATCTTCCAAAACTTTTCTGAGGGTTGAACAATTTACAAATGTTACTGCATTTGTTCTCTTGAGAAAACACGGACCTTGTTTTACAAAGGAGGAAATGGGGACTCAGAGAGGTGAAATAAATTGTATAAGGTTCAAGTTACTTGTTGGGAGAACCAGGAGTAAGACTCATCCTTTGATCTAACCTCTTTTTCCAACCTCTTCCCCATTTCTTTGATCTTGCAGCTCTTTTTTGTGGTCTGGCTTGGCAGTACTGTTTTCTGAAGTTGTGGTGGTTCAGAGATGCTGAGCTTGGCCTATTTCTATGTCGCAGTTGTGACATTAAATGCACAAACATCTGTTTTCGTATGGAGCACCATTGCTCCAGGACGCTGCTGTTCTCTGTGGGTGAATTGCTCTGGCTGGTCTGTTCTGTTCCAGGGAAGTCCTATTCGAGAACCCTGCTGCAGGGGGTGGTGCCTCTCCTCCCACGGGAAGACTGTGAGGTCCGTTATGGGCAGAAGTTCACAAGCCGCATGATTTGTGCTGGGAACCTCTCTGAAGACAAGCGGGTGGACAGCTGCCAAGGTGACAGTGGAGGGCCACTCACATGTCAGAGGCCAAATGGACGCTGGATCATTTTGGGGATCACTTCCTGGGGTTACGGCTGTGGTCGGAAGGATTCCCCTGGTGTGTACACAAAGGTCAGCAAATACGTAACCTGGATCAAGAAAGTGACCAAGCTAAAATGAAAATGTCTGAGCTCTGGGAACTTCAACATACGGTTCTTTAGCCCTGCAGCAGCAGAAGGCTGTGGCTTCTGGCCTGTCACTGACTGATGGAGAAAAGACTTTAATGTAGAACTGGGTAAAAAACAGTTATAGATGATTCTTTAAAGTCTGTGGTTTCACTTTTGTCCATAATCTCTGAGCAGAGAAAGCAGGTGTGTGCTGGTAAGAATAGTAAGTTTATGTTGCTCTGACTATCCCAGTCCTGTAATGCAATCATACTTGGCCCTTTGCCCTGGCACACAGAAATGGTAGAAGTGGAGAGATACCTGCCTCTATTTTTGTTTTTGTATGTTTGCACACTTGAAAAACACTGCAAGGAGAGGTGAGATGCTTGGAAGGTGGCACCAGGCTCTGGCGTAGTGGAAATCTTCAGATACTTTTTCATACAGCTCTCTTAAATTCCAGGAATCAAAAGATTTGACCTGAGTTGAGGAACAGGCCAACAGCTGGGGTTTTTTTTCCTTCCCTGTTATGTCTCTAGAGGGAACCTTTTCTCTTCTGAATAGTAGGTCTGCTCCCATATAATACCTTTAAAGTGTCTGTCCCTGCTAAGAGATGCTTGCCCCTCCTGCTGTAATCCTCTATCACATATTTCCAGCTGCCGGATGCTCTGATTTTATTGCTGCTTTCTCAATATAGTGGTTCTTTTGTGTTTGTGGGGTTTTTTCCCCCTTAAAGCAGCATCTCCTAGAATCAGTTGTTGGTGTGAGAGTAAATCTTAATTTTTAAGAGACAATACATTTCTTCCCTTGTGCTTACAATGAAGAACTTAAAAATGGGACCTCACATTATTTTTCTTTAAATTCAAACGTAAAGTTAATCTCAAGCATTCAGGTGTTGAGTCATGATTTAACAGCACTGTGGGGACTTTCTCTTGGTACCTTATTCACATAGTTATTAGCTGCTCTATTTGTGATGTTACTCTTTAATACCTCCGTGTTCACAGTTCTCCCATGAGACATGGAAATATTCCTGTGGTATAAATACATAACAAACACAGGGAGTAATTTGCTTGAGGTGCAAAACAGTAAGTATGCTGCAAAGCAGCTGTCTGCTTCCACAAAGTGTGTCCTATTCTTGCAAGCCTGGAATATGCTTCCTCTCTCTTCTTTGCACTGTTTCTCTTTTCATTCCTCTGTGGGAGTAAACTGCCTTAACTCAAGGGCATGCAAGCAGTGCCATCAAATGAGTTCTCAGCCTGAACAGAAATAATGCTGAGAGAAAGCAGGGGTTGTTGAATACTTCATTTTCTTCCTTCTCTTTCACCCAAACAAATGAATAGTTTCATTTTAGGAATTAATTTTAAATGTTAATTTATTATTCCTGAGTAGGTAGAGAAATGTAAAAATAGGCAGAAGGGCTAAGTGCATTAAGAGTTGTGCAGCGCACAACAGTGTCTTCTTGCTGTGTGTAGACAAGCCAGAGAGAAAACAGGTCTGCTCAGGAGCAGGGGCAGTGAGCTTTGATACATAACCAAGGACCTGAACATGGGGTAATAATGCAGGATGGACTCCTGGAACTTGTGCTAGATGTGCATGTTTTGGGTTTGCGCACACACTGTAGGGTTAGGCAATGACTGGGTCAGGCACTGGTTTGCTGTCTGGAAGGCCTGCACTCAAGGGACTGAGATGTTCGATACCTAGATATTATCAAGGCAAGAACAGAAGACAGAGCACAGCCTGTGGATTAGCAACATTATATTACAGGGCATGTGGTGATAGAGTCCTAGAAATTACCTTGGATTCAATAAGTAGTGATTGTCTAAAGCTTTAATTTGTCTTCTATAAAACAGCTTAATGTAAAGGTGCTGACCTGACTAGGTGGCTGATTTCCGTGTGTGAACGCGAAACTGAACAGTTCCTTTTACCCTCTCCAGGGATTATAAACCAGTTGGGTTACCAATGCTGCAATGGACTGTTTGAAGATCCTGCTTGGAAGCTTTATTTTAAAAAAGAATTGTAGGAATCTTTAAAACATGCAATGTCAGAACCCCTGCAAACTGGCCTTCAAGGCAGATCTGATCTGTTAGTGCCTCTTCTCGAGGGGCTGAATGTTTGCAGTGCTGATAACCCTGTTTCAAGTGCCAGGCTTGATCCTTCAGCAGCACTGTGCTTGGCTCCATGCTGGCTGTGTTGTCCTACAGCTGCCAGCAGAGTCCCTAAGACACAAGCTGCAGACTGCTCCTTATCTCCCAGGAATTTAAATGACAGAAGGACTGGGGGCAATTATGTTACAGTCCTCTGGTCTTGCAGGGGGGATTAAACACCAAGTTCCACAATGGCAGCAACAGTACCTCTCTGGGAAACATGGAGAGATTTGTCTGGTAGCTTCCGTCTCTCTCAAGCCAGCATGCTACAGCAGCTCAAATGGAGCTTCTGTGCCTTGGGTGCTGTCACATCTCTAGTTTAACATGGTTTGATCTTCCAGCTTATACCCGTACCCCCAACAGGCATAGAAACATCCAAAGGATTGAAACTATGAGGTTATTTCCCTGAGCCTACTTAACTGGTTGCCATTCAGGTGTAAGAAAAAAATATCATGTAACATGAGTGAGACACAGGCCTGGCGTTATCCTCTGAAATTCCCATTTTCTAGGTCAAAATATTTTTTTTTTTTTCTCCTAGATCTTGTCGTTGTGAAAGCTCTGAGAATCCTTGTAACTAACATCCTGTAAGTCCTGCATGAGCCAGGAGGAGGGAAGGAAGTATCTGATCCCCTTCACCAACTTTTACACCTTACTGGTACTGGAGACAACCCTGCCAGTACTCTCCTCAATTGTCCTAACCTGTTTCAGAGCACTGCTATTGCTCTTTACTGTTTAAACTGGGACTGTGGCCCAAACCAAACTCATGTGCTTTGCCACTGAGGCTTGCTGGAACTGCCTGGTTGGATGAGTGTCACTCAGCCACCCTAGGACTGTATTTTGTGCCTAATGTTGGCCAGCAGCAGATGTTTCAAAGGATAGTACATGTGATTTTGTACTGAACAAGTTTTAACAACCTTTCCTTTGGGGGAATTTTGTTCTTGGCCCATTTAAATTAATTACCTGCATTACTATTATTATAATTAAAAATAGAAATACAAGTACTTGGTCCTCTAGGACCAACACTATGCACTATCCTTTTGTGATTCTTTTTTTTCTAAAGCATAAGAGTTTATATCCCTAACATTTAAAAATCTATTGAATGTAACCAGCCTTCAGCTTCCATGTAAATGTTTAATCCCTTATTTAATCAAACTAAGCTCTCAGCCTCAATATTTTCTGGTAATGAGAACCAATATAATATTATTTTCCATAGCACATGATTTCCTTTTTTGACCCCTGCATTAATTGGCTTTTGTTTTCACTGAATCCCATCTGTCCTTGTGCTATCAGCTATGAGAGGAACTAAGGGGCCTAGCTTTATATTCTCTGTTGTCCATTACTCTAGCTATAGTCCCTTTTCTGAAACTGTGGCTTCTCTGTCTCTCTTCAACTCAAACTGTCTAAGCATCTGATAACATGCTAGCTGTCTCTCCATGTCTTCTCCTTCTGCTGGATCTTTAAGCTTGGGTAACCAGAACTGAAAGCAGTTTGCCAAGGGAGGCCGTGCCATCTGCCGATTATTTTCAGTGTTATGTTCTATAGTAGGCAACACTAAGTGATTTCAGTGCTGTGTGTGTATTATGTATGTATGTATGTATGCTGGAGCTAGCTTTAAACTTGCTAGTGTGGTCGTGGTGGCAGCCTAGCTACAACAGGGTGGAAACCCGCCAAGGTTAACTCCCCTGTGTCCCAGGCAGGCACAGCAGCCCCTCTGAGCTCAGAGCCGTTGCTGTAGGTATGTCTGGGCAGTGTAATGCAGCTCTGGGCAGGGAGTGCCCGAATAGCTGTGCAGACCTTTGCCTTGGCTGACCTACTTGTAGGGCTGGTACAGTCCTCCTTTGCAACATTAGTCTGTTGGATCAGGCTAATGCACACAATTTCCAGGAACTGAGAGCTCAGTCACTGCTGCTGGTGGCTTCACTGTGCCACATGGATGCTGTGAGACAAGTTCCCATAGCAGCGTGGCACACGCTTGTTATATGAGAAAGGGAATGTCACTATGACTAGGAAGGAGCATTGGCAAGGTAGACACAGGGTCTAAGGAGCTCCAGGTATCCCTCTTTGGGGGAACACCCCAGTGCTCTAACCCAGTGCCAGTATCATCCTGATCTGCAGTGCCTGCACTGGTACCCTTATCAGCCCTGTCTTGACACCAGTCCAGGCTTTGGCCAGCTGAAGGTTTTATTTAGGTTTATCCCTTTCCATTAAAGGTTTATCCCTTCCCCGTAGCTAAACACTGTTCTGATGATTTCTATGAATTATGTTCTATGCTGTAATTAATCAGGCAGCTGTTTATTAACCTGGACAGGATGTTGATTACACTTGTAATGCTTTTGTACCCTTGTTGCAGAGAATAACGTATCAGTTGCTCAAAGATATTAGTGGAGGCATTGGTGAGGAACCAGGAACGTGGATATTTGCTATCTCAGGGGTAAGAGAGGTGGACCTGCCTTTTGTCTGTCTTTTTTCCTTTGAAACCAATATCCTGAAGTCTCTTCACACAAAAAAAGCTGCAGTGATCCAACAACCACTTGAAGACAGGTTTTTATATGTATATTCAGCAATCAAATTAAAACTTTTGAGAGATGAACTGCACTGTGGTATTTAACACCATCTTGATAGACTTGCTGGGCGTTTCTGGCAGCTAGAGGGAACAGAATAGCCCTTGTAGGTAACCAACGTGGGACTGCTCCTTGTGGAATGAGGCACTGTGACCTGGACCAATGTACATCTCATGGGGTATATTTTTACATGTTAAGAAAAATATTTAATTCCCCATATCAAGGAGAAACACTCACTTGTGTAGTAGCCCACACAGTCCTATACCTTTCCACAACCAGAGGCTGAGCACCTCTGAAATCATTCAAGTGCCAAAATTGTCGTGTCCCCTGTATCAACACCAATGGCTCATAAGGTATGCTAATAAACTGATTATGCTGTGACTATGTGGGGCTCTGTCTTATTTT